CAATAAACTGAACGGTTGTTCAAAACCATTGTGAATAAATCCGTCCGGCATAAAATATAAGGTTTACTGTGGCGATTTTTCAACGGGTTTTTTTTTTTAAAAAAAGAGGTTCTATTAACTATTTCTTTTGACGATGAACGTCCCCCTTCCCCGTAGGAAACTTGATGCACAGATGCAGCGGGAAGTTCTCCTGCGCAAGAGACCTTGACATGAATCTTGCGGAGTTCCTATTGATTTCAAAGGGGCTGTAAAGACACGATTTAGAGGGGACATTGTGGACATCTGATGCTTGACGAAGCCTGTGCGCGTGGATAAGTGTTTGGGGGGGGGGGGGGGGGGCGTGAAAGCAGGGGAACAACGACCCCGTTTAATAGCCGAGCAGTATAGTTTTAGGAGCCTCGTTTGGCGCCTCCGCTTCTGTGGGGCGGGTTCAAAATCAAAAAGGCCTGCGATTCTTATATATCTTTGCAAAAATTTCTGTGGACAGGCAGCAAGGAGGGATCATCGAACTGGTGGGGTTAGGCCAGGAGGCTGTTTATTCCACACGCACCCCGTTGCATCTGGCTGGGGCCCTCCAAACAGCACGGGAAACCATGTCCCTAAATAATCGACGGGCTTTCGAAATACTTAAATCCTTGGGAGGGCTGCAGATCGATGCTCGCCGCTTCGGGGAGGACCCACACACTGCGGGTCAGTCCAAGCACATGTCTTCTTCTGGGTGCCGTGTGTTTGTAAACATCCAAGGGAGCTGGAAGAAAGGGGCTTTCGGCGTGCCGGGAAAACCGAAAGGAATATGCCCCCCCCCCAGGATCCATTGAAAAGCTCCGCTTGATCTAAGCCACAGAGACCAGCAAGTTTTACTTCCAGAAATCTGTTTCTAAAGCACCCACTCACCCACTTTGTATTGAGGTTTTTTTCTTTCCATTTCCCCGCTCCACATGATAATCAATGGGCATTATCGGGAAAAAGCGCGTTTCAATTGTTCAGAGGGGAAGGGGGGAAATCACATCACCAGAAAGGAGAAAATTGGGGCCGGGAATCTCATTTTAATAAAGGATTTTCTGTCCAAAGCTTCCGGGTTCTGTTAGAAATATTTGGGCCGCATGTACAAGGGATCGTTGGAATTCGATAGAACGTTTTTTGTTTTGTTCCCCAGCAAGAAACCTGTTCGACAGCAGCAGTTAACCAAGGCAAAGAAAGACACACACACCCTTTCCCTCCCCTCTCAGCCCAATCCAAAGAGGAAAAATTAAGCAGTTCTACACTGTATAAAAGCCGGCACCCTTTAACCAGAAGGAGTTGGAGGCGAATTAATACCCAGCCCTCGAAAAACAAACAAACAAACGGACAAAACCTCACGGACTCATAAAGTAATGAGAAGTTATAGTTTACCAAGTTGGGGGGGGGAAGCTTTCCTAATAAATCTTTTCCCTCCACTGGGTCTTTGTAAATCATGTTCCCACTTTCTCTCGTGGCTTTCGTCTCCCCCTTTATAACAGAAACATTTGCCTTTCGTCGGAGATCCCGGCTACTGTACACAGATGATTTAAAGGCGGCGGCCGATTCTTGATCCATTGGGTGGGTATTTAGTAACACGTTATGCCTTAAACCTCTCTGCCCTTAGTTAAGAGAAAATGTTCACTTCCGAGACACCTTCTTCCTCCTATCGCCCTTTCTCCCTACACACACCACACACAAACACATACTCACACAATATACCATGTTGTTGTTAACAATACTCGGGTTGGTATGTTGGATATATACTAGAATGTTAAACGTCTGTGACTCTCAATGGTGCCTGTATGTTTACATTAAACTGTCTGGTTATTATATATTATTATTTATTTGGGGTCTGGTGGTAACAAAATTGTATGGGCGCAAGCAGTGGTGTATATGGGGCGGAGAAGTCGCCCCTTTCTTTCTGGAATCGTCTTAGAGAAGTATTGGGAACTTTTCGATGGTAATGGGAAGGAGGGAAGGAACGCAAGGTTAAGGGTCAGTTGTGATGCGGTGGATTTGTGGGTAGTGATGACCAAACATTTTAAAACAAAAGCGACAGCCAACGACCACCATTTATTCTGCTCGGTGGACGGTAAGGAGACGATAAAAGAAAATCTTAAATTTATTCTTTTTTGAATAACAAACAAACCCCAAACGCTCTCATTCAAGGCATCGCCGGCTGCGTAGAGACGTTCGATCAAGTGGAGAAAGCAGTTCGATAGAAGCTGCTTTATCCAAAATAAAACAGAATAGAGCTTACTTAAAAAGAAGTAAATTTGGGCAGGCCTTCCTTCCTTTCTTCCTTCCTTCTTTCCTTCCTTCCCTTAGCTCAAGGTCTGCGCTAAGAGTAACTCTTCCAAGTGATTTATCCTGAAACATTTTGCTGAAATGAGAGCTATGTTTGTTTGGGTCTCCTTCGAGGAGGCCTTTCAGTTTCAGATCTCGTCTGAATCAACCTTTGGGGGGTGTAAGCAGAACATAGGCTCCTGGGGTGATTCTGGGGCCCCGGAGTGCTTAGCCAGTAGAGGGACGCGCGGCCACACACAACAAGAGGGCTCCGAG